AATTAAAAAAAAAATATCAACTTTTAAAAACAGAAACTTAACATCCGTAGGTCAATGGATTTTGATGTGAGATACATTTAATCTGTTTTTCTTTTTTTATTTTAAATAATTGAATATTTATAGTTGTTATGGGTCTTACATCATGTAAAACGAATTTTCTTAAAGTAAATTTACTTTTTCTTCAATCTTTCTTACATATTTATTAAAAAAAAATTATCCAAAAAAAGATGTTTTAGAATGAAAAAAAATAGAAAAATCTTCATTTATAGTCTTTCTTGAATGTATACGTTTTGATTTTTTTCTTTTTTAAAAAATTCAATTTCTAGAAAAATCGAGAAAAAATCATTTTCTTCTATTTTTTAGGACGCCATACCCATTGAAATCTCCTCTCAGGACGCCATAAACTATTCAATTATGGTGTAAACTTCTCAAAAATTGAATAGTTTACATCAGGACGCCTTAGGACGCCAACCCTTTACGCGCCCCGATTTATGTGATTATTATATATATTGTGAACATGATATTTCATAGGATAAGGATAAGGATGTCAATTCGGAAAATTGTTTTCATTTTAGGAGAATATAATTTTCCATTTGGAAAATTTAAAAAGTGAGACGCGCAGGATTCGAACTTTTTTAAAAGTTGATTTAAATATATTCTAGTGTGGATTCTAAGGATAATATCATATTTAAAATAAGAATATACTAGTTTATGTGGTATAATTTTTTTCGATAAATTTGAGAGCATGTACGTTTAGGACATCAAAAGTGTCAATTCGCTCAGCGAAAGCTGAGCTAGCTTCGTTCTCGAAAGAATAGGGAAGGAGTGAAGGAGAGTGATACAGATGTTGACACATTCATATCATTTCAACAGATTTTGATCAAATTGAAATTCAATGAAATTCAATTCACTTCATATCCTTCAGTCAGTACATCGACATCCTTCTACATCACAATGATAACTCGTGCATCAATAGTTCTACAACTAACTCAGAAAAAACAAGATTTTTCCTTCCAGCTTACAGCTTTTAAAAAGTTTCGATGATAAAAATCACTCTACTCTTGTTTATCTATATGTTGTGATAGTAGGTAAACGTATTCTTATCGATATTAATAAAAATATTTTTACGAAAATCTGAACCAATTACAGAGTTATTCATAAAGTTTATGATAACTGTAATTACTTCATCTTTGTTTTATATTTGAATAAACAATTTAATTTAATTTGCATAATTTCTTTTAGTTGAAAGACAGGAAACTTAGTTGAGTTTGTATTATTTTTATCGTTCAATTCATTGTATATGTGAGTGATCCAGATATTTAAGATATTTGTCAATTTTATGAGAATAAATTTAAAATCTCATGAAATATAAAGAAGAGTAATATTTTTCAATTTTCTTTTTTTCTTTCTCTCAAATATTTTCTATTGGGAATTTTCTTGTTATCAAAAAATAATTTTAATATTTGTTTATTTCATTACATACAATAAAATTTTAAAAACTCTATTTCTTCACAAGAAAATTTTTTTCCTTCATATGAAGAAACATTTTGTTCTCCATTTGATGCTGAGTCTAAATCTCGATTTTTGAATTTTCTTCTTTCCAAATTTCTTTTTTCCAAATTAGAAGTTTAATTCAAATTTTCAATAGTTTATATATTTTCTCAAACCGTCTTAGATTTTCTCACTTTTTAGGGATTTTCTCTCAAAATATACAAAAATAGTAATACCAATACATGTGTCTAATATACTTTAAAACCATCGTGATAAAATTCAAAAACGAAGAGTTCTTCTCTCCAAATTTTTTTCAAAATCAAAAAAATGAGATAAAAAAATACGTTTCGAAATTTCATTTTTAGCATTTTAGGAATTTTCTCACTTTTCTTCCAAATTGACATCCTTATTAAGGAATAAAATTAACTGCTTAAAATCGAATTTTGAACATGATTTATTTTTCAAATTATTTGATCATTGAATTTTCGGCGATTTAAATGGATCAATCCATAGTACAGTATAACTAAAATTGATATATGATGTTAGTTTAAAAACAATTAAAAATTGCAACCGAAAATGGTCAAAAATAAGTCACGAGAATATGAAATTTAGTTAGCTAACTTGATTTAATTAAAAATGGTGGAAAAAATGCCGATATATGCTGAATATGTCTGGAATTTCGAACCTTATGCTGGAATTATTTACAGATAAAACTCGTACCTAATGAATAAAATGAATTTATCTAACTCTCACATGCAAAAAATTAAACCTATATAGAAGAGAAACTCATATTTCTGTAATATCAACTTTGTCAGCTAAAAAATAATAACTATATTTATAATCGAGATATTAGATAGGTATTCAGCTGCATTCAGTTCAAAAACAACTTTATTCAATGTAGATATGAGATAGATGTCGAAAAAAGTGAAATATTCTCAAGTTTATCCAGGTTGATATCAGTTTATCCAATATAGAAAGAATTTTAGCTATAAAAGATCAGTCAATATTATCTGAAACACTTGTAATACATAAAATGTTTGTAGTTAGTCTAATTTTTCGAGTTAAATTTAGGTAGGCGGAGGCTAATATTCCTTTAAATTAGTCCTATTAGAGGAATAATGAAATAGTTATGACATAAAGTTGACGAACATTTATGTTGAAAGAGAACAATAATAGTTATAGGAGATTAATACATAAAATTCTGGTATTAGTCAATTTAAAGGTGAATGCAAAGAAAAAATTAGCAATAAAATCGATCAGAGATTAATCTTGGATTTTATATAATAAGACGATTAATATTAGATTTAATGCTGATGTGAATGAGGAAATCGAAATGAAAATAGGATAATTCCCATATGAATAACTTGCTGATAAATGTAATGAGGGATATTGGGGATAACAAGTGAATAATAAAAGATTATGGAACTTTGGTCCAAGAGAAAGAAAGATATTGATTGACAAGGAGGGGTAAAAATGAGTTTAATGATTGTTTAGAAGCAACCAACAGGTTTGATGGGCTTTTATGCTACGTAATATTTGTTTCAACTATTATATGTTACTTTAAAGCATAAGTAGTTGAATGAATGCGAAGTTTAAAAATGAAGAAAAATCAAATGTTTCGATTTTTGAAAAAAATTCTATATCTATTAGTAAGTTATTATTAATTGATTTAGCTGAGATGATCCCATCATGATTTGTTTGTTCAATAGCTATGAAAGGATAAAAAAGCAATTGAATACTGATTTCAATGTCCAAAAATTTTTTGGAACCGAGAATGTATCTAAAAATGTGTATACATTAATATTTTAATGATTTTCCCTAATCTTTATTCTCATCTCAATTTTTAAATATTTAACGGTTCTCAAAATATTGAATACATTGTATAATTTGAGCCAAAAGAATATAAGAGTGATCTTAATTTTCCAGCATAATTTCAATAAATGTGAAGTGCCGACCCATTGATGAAGTGACCATTTTATTCACAATACGAAATTGAGAGAAAATAGGTTCTACTGTATTCGTTAAAGGCCATTCATTAATGATATGCTGATTCAAGCCTAAACCTGATATAATTCTTCATTCAAATTATATGCAAAACAATGGAATATAGCGATTATTTTCTCTCAATTTTATCATCTATTGAAAAAAAAACAGTTTTTAATGTTGTCATCATCTTCACGTGCTATCGCATCACTGAAGTCAAGATGCGCATACGAGCCATACCTTGCTAAGGTCTGCAAGGCTGAGGACACCATCCCAATCTTCAAGAACGGAATGTCAATCGGCTGGTCTGGTTTCACACCAGTTGGTGATCCAAAGGTTGTCCCAATTGCTCTTGCCGAGTATGTCGAGAAGAACAACCTTCAGGGCAAGCTTCGCTTCAACATGTTCATCGGTGCTTCCTCTGGTGCCAAGAATGAAGACCGCTGGGCCAAGAACGGCATGATTGCTCGCCGTTACCCATACCAGAACGGTGCTAACCTCAAGAAGAACATCAACTCTGGCAAGACAATGTTCGCTGATAAGCACCTTTCCATGTTCCCACAGGACCTCACATGGGGCTTCTACACAAAGCAACGTGGTGGTGGCATTGATCTCGCCATCGTCGAGGCTACAGAAATCTTAGCTGATGGTTCCATCGTTCTTGGTGGTGCTGTTGGTTCTGCTGTTGAATTCCTCAACGCTGCTGACAAGATCATCATCGAACTCAACACAGCTATCCCATCCTTCAAGGGCTGCCACGATATCGTCGCCCCATGGAAGCCACCGGGCAAGCCATACAACATCACATCCGTTGACTCCCGCATCGGCTCACTCTCCGTCAAGATTGACCCATCCAAGGTTGTCGCCGTTGTCGAGTCTCATGCCATCTTCCCAGGCAGACCAGTCAAGGGTGCTGATGCTACAGCCAAGGCTATCGCTGGCCACATCGTCGACTTCTTCCAGAACGAAGTTAAGCAGGGCCGTCTCCCAGAGAACCTTTACCCACTTCAGTCTGGTGTCGGCAACATCGCTAACGCTGTCGTTGATGGCCTTAACGATTCCCCATTCGGCCACCTTACAGTTTACACAGAAGTTCTTCAGGAAGCTATGCTCCCAATGTTCGACTCTGGCAAGCTCAAATTCGGTTCATCCACATCACTCACACTTTCACAGTGGGACAAGCTCTACGATAACTTCGACTTCTACAGAAACAAGTTCGTTCTTCGTCCACAGGCTATTTCCAACTCTCCAGAAGTTATCCGCCGCCTTGGTGTTATCGCTATGAACACACCAATCGAAGTCGATATCTTCGGCCATGCCAACTCAACACTCATCAACGGTACAAAACTCGTCAACGGCCTTGGTGGCTCTGGCGACTTCCTTCGTAACGGCTACCTCTCAATCATGCACTGCCCATCTGCCAGAAAGACAAAGAAGGACAAGACAGGCATCTCATGCGTTGTCCCAATGTGCACACACGTTGACCACACAGAACACGATCTCGATGTCATCGTTACAGAACAAGGCCTCGCCGATCTCCGTGGTCTTGCTCCAGTTGAACGCGCTAGACTCATGATCGAGAAGACAGTCCACCCAGACTACAAGGATCAGATGCGTGAATACCTCAACCTCGCCATCCAGGCTACACAGCCAAAGGGCGCTGGCCACGAACCACAGATCCTTTCAAAGGTCTTCAAGATGCAGGAGAACCTTAAGAAGAAGGGAACAATGCACCTCGATAGCTGGTAAATTTGATCTCCTTTTTTTTGATAAAAGTAATTCTTTTTATTAATTAGTTTATTTTCATTTTAGCTCAAAATTGTATCATTACAATTTGAGGGTGGGAATGTGGTATAATTTTATTGATAAAAAAAATTTTGATCATGTAAGAAGAATTTCAATGTAACAATTCTATTTATTAACTTAAGATTAAAAACAATTCATTGATTATTTCTCTTTTCGGCAGCTTTCTTGATGCCTTCCTTTGTACGAACCTGAGCAAGCTTGGCTTTCTCTTCTGTTGGCTTGAAAGTACGAATGTTTCCTTTCATTGGGTCTTTCAAAGCGCGTTCCATAGCGCATGCTTCGGCCTTTTTAATAAGGAAGGCTTTTACTGGATCACGATGCTTCTTGTACTTCTTTGGCTGTTTTTGATTTGGTTTAACATGTTTGGCCTTTGTTGGAACAGTTAGAGTTGGACGGCGAGATGCTCCTCCTTGTGGCATTGTCACTTTTTTTGATTTTGTTCAAGAAATGTTGAGCAAATTTGTCTTGCTTTTTATTAGTATAAGGGATTATTGTTTGAGTCCATCATTAAATCCTTTGGTTTTCAATTGTTATTATCGCTTGAAATTAGTCTAATTATCAAAATTGGAAACAAAACTAAACTCATTAGCACCATTATATGTGGTATGACATTCTCTTTTTCTGATAATGTAACCAATTAAGTATGATATATAGTTCATATATTAGTTCTTGAATAGATTAACAAAACAATTTTGATATTTATTAAGTTAAGTATGCATTATTGGTTTTATTATATTCTTTCCTGGGTAATGCAAAACTGTTATATCAAGTGCAATCTTTTTCCATAGGAAAACATAATAATTTTTATTGGATATTTTTTTGCATTGTCAGCTATGTGTGTATGCTTCTAAATTGGTTCGGTGCGATTCCTTTATTGTATTTTCCTTGATGTTTTTAACATTATTAGGATAATTTTGGATAAAACTTAGAAATTTCTGTGTTTCTAAATGCGCATTGTGTAACTGTACTTTCCTTCGCTGCTCACCCAAATAATCAAATTTTTGATTTTCTTATCAATTTGAGAGAAAATTGATCGTTACTAAATTTTTTTAGAAAATGAGTGTTTTGAATCAGGAAACCTTTATGCAAATGTTTGAAGCAACTGAAAAGGGCGATATTAACACATTGAAAATGATGATCACTCCTCCAATCACGGTTGATACGATTTTAGATGACATTTACGTTTTGGATGGCAGGTGCACACGAAAGCCCACACTATTAATCATTGCAGCATCATTTTCTCAAACTCAGATATTAGAATATTTGCTTTCAAAGGGTGCAAATCCAAATATTGCCGATAAAAGAAATCGTTACCCACTTCACTTTGCAGCAATGAAGGGAGATATTGATATTGTTCGCGCCCTTATTGGTGCCAAAGCTGATGTTAATAAGCAAGACTGGGATGATTACTCTCCATTACACTATTGTGCTCAAAATGGCTTCATTTCCGGAGCAAAAGCATTGCTTGATGAAGGTGCGCAGATTAATATACAAACAAGGCTAAAAGAAAGTCCTTTAATAATCGCAATACAAAATGGACAAACAGAAATGGTTGATTTCCTAATACAATCGCATGCTGATGTTTCTCTTCCAGCGTTGCACAACCAATATCCTCTATTTTTCGTTAGTGATGGAGTAACAGCCGAATTACTTATAAAAGCAGGAGCAAACGTGAATTCAACCGACGAAAATAACCAGACTCCTCTTCATCATGCTGCCCAGGATGGATATCTCGATGTTGTCGAAATTCTTCTTAAATCTGGTGCAAAAGTAAACGCAACAGATAACCAGAAGCAGACACCACTGCACATCGCTGCAGGTAATGGCCAAGTCGATGTATGCAAAGCCCTCCTTGATGCAGGAGCTGAAGTCAAAGCGCTTGACATCGGAAGAAGATCCCCTGAAATGTTGGCAAGAAGAAACGACCACATTGCAGTGACTTCTTTAATTGCTCAGTACCAAGATGACGACCAGGATGACGATGTCCCAGTTATTGGTTTCAAGGCTTTCACTGGTATTAAACATACAGCAACACCTCCTCCTGGTTCTGAAGCTGGATTAACACCTGATGACTTGAAATTCGATATTCTCGAGTCTCTTTAATTTATTTAAATTAATTTCTTTTGTTTGATTAATAAATTTTATGTTTACTTTCATCATCTTATTGGCCTTAATGGTGCACTTACCACTTTTTTGACATTTTCTCAATTTTTTTGACATCCAAGCTTTATATCATAATTTTCTAAGGTAAAAAGTCGTTAACTTTGTTCGGAAAGAAGTTATTTTAAATCACTACTTAGTACCTTATATTACTGTTATACTTTTTTGCAATCATAATAAAGATATATTGATATTGTGGGAGCATGTCAAAAAGTGGTAAGTGCACCCTTAAGGTGTCAATATCTTAAATGAATACTTGTTAAGAACAAACAATGAATAGAATGATCTTTATACAAACAATATAGAATTAATATGATGGTGATTATTTGGATATATAATTTCGCATGATATCTGCAATTTGTGGGAATTTGCAATCTTCTGCAAGCTTAATGCAATTTATTCCTGTTGAATTATCTTGAAGCAATGGTGAGCATCCTTTTTCAAGAAATAGTCGAACAATTGGAGTTAATCCAAGACAGGCAGCTGATGATAATGCTTCGTAAGCTTCTTCATTATTAGATGTGAAATCAGTTCTGTCTAATTTATCAAAGAAAAGCTCAAAATTAAATGTAACTAAACTACTATACCAGGAATAATCAAGAGAATATTTGTCACTAAGATATCTGTATTCATCATTATGATGATAAATACATGCAATATCAGCATAGTCTGATGTGATCGCAGAGTTTTGTTCACATATATTAATAATATCATAATTATTACCCAGAAAAGCTCCTGATGTGGTATCAGATGTTATAACGGATCCATTTTCATATAGATAACGGAAGCATTTGATGGATCCATATTCTGCGGCTAAATCTAAGTCTGATGGAGATGTTCGATCTGATTCAAAGCCGAAACTAGAATAAATGGAATCAAGTGCATCTAAGTCGTCATTTGCAATAACTTCTTCGATTTCTCCAAAATCATATTGAGAAAGAAGTTCATCGACTGATTGTTTGACTTCTTCAGGATATACATCTGGATCTATCAATCCTTTGAGTTTTAATATCTTCATCAAAACTTCAGAGAAGAAATCATATTCTTTTGGAAATTGAAATCCAGTCATTGTTAAAAATTGTTCAATAAATTGTAAAATCTGCTTCGACATCTTATGGTTATTTGAAAACTTCTGATCAAGAACAGAAAAGATATTCTGCAAAGAAATCTCGCAATTTGAAACGCAAAATTTGATGTGCTCAATAATTTCTTCAATTGGATAATCTTGGAAATTCCAGAGTAGCTCCCCGAGACGACATAATTCGTTCCGATATTGGAGTGCCATCGAGAAAAATGAACTTAAAATTTTGATGTCAGGATATTCATCAAAAAAAAAATCTAAACCAAACCTTCTAACCTCTTTTCCAATCACACTCATCAATTCTATTTCTGATTGTTGCATGTTAATGGAAGCTTCTTGGGAAGAGATATGAATAGCTTCTAATGATAACGCGATCAATTCAATTATAGAACAATCGATTTTAGACTTGTGGCTTTTCATTAAAATCATATTTATAAGAATTCGAAATGATTAGCATTGATTTCTTTAAATGTCTAGCAATCGATAATATGATTGAAGAAATTATAATCTGGGAAGTCTGATAATATTAAAACACAGACATATGCATGAATAAAATCTTATTTTCCTTAAAATCATCTCTACATTCCTTCTTTTTTTATTTTGAAATTGATTATTTCTTTACAGTTCATGATAAAAACCTATTAAATCGATAGCGTATCTGTTGTATGACACCCAGAATAACTATAGAAGCATTTGTTTGTTGCGGAAAAAATAATAAACAAAAAAAATTCAAACAAAGTATAGATGGAAGATTTAGATGCATTGGTAAATTCATCCACACAGAGTACAAAGAAGCATAAGAAGGAGAAGAAGGAGAAGAAATCTGAATTAAAGAAAATGGGCGCCTTAAATGGTCCAACAGGAGCTTTGAGATTTATGGCTCAAGATAACAGAAGAATTATGGACCCAACAATTGCAAGGCAGAATAATATCAGTAAGATCATTGAATACTTAGAGAGCCGCAAATCAAAAGGAAAGGCTCCATGCACTCTTTCCGAAATTGAAAAAGAATTAAAAATCAAAGTATCAGATGACGATGATTTAGTTGCTGCTCTTCAGAAGAATGAATCCATTGTCTACGAATACAACAAATATTCATTTAAGACAGAGCATCAAACAGGAAATGAAAATGAATTATTGAACTCCCTTAGAAAAGAAAGATTCGTTGACAAATCAACCTTCTTACAAGGTGCATTCGAAGGCGCCGATAAAGAGCTCGATGACCTTAAAGATCAAGGAATTATTGACATTTTTAAAGGCGATCAAAAGAACAAAGTCATTTTCTACTACGATGAAATACTCCGTGAAGATGAAGAAGTTCTCGCTGCAAAAGAATTTTCTTCTTTGTGGCATTCAGAATTTACAATTATTCCGGCCGAGGACGAGTTCAGAGACAAAATGTGCAGAGAAAACCATATCGAACCTGTTAAAGCCCTCAAACCACTGAACCAGCAAAACGAAGAACCTGTTGAAAAGAAAAGAAGGACAAGGAAGCAAACTTTCTCAAGCTCGAACCAGAAATTCCTTGAATAATCAAATAATTGGACTAATTATCATGAAATTTAGCCAAAAATTACTAATCATGTCAAAATTTTTATAAAATTTAATAAAAAGTAACGCCTACTAGGCAATGTTTTGTTTACATTTACTTTTTTATTTTATTATAAAAGACTCCGGATTAAAACCATCAATTTTACACTTCCAAATTCTCATTTGAAATAAAATAACTGGGATAACACGTGCATATAGTCTTGTGCATTATCTCTTTTGATCCAATAATCATAAGATTGCGTAACCAATAAGGATAAACACCTCTTGTTATTGCAAGATCAAAGTTATTGTAAAATTTGACATTTCATTCATTTTTTTGATTTTAGTAAAATGGATCCAATTATACGAATTTTTAAAGATGACAACATTGACGAATTCAAAAGTTGGCTTGAGTTGAGAGATACCAATCATGATATCATTATAGAAGAAACTATTAATGATATTCCTGGTCAATATCCATTAGACTTAGTAATTACAAAATACCACGCAGCGGAGTGTCTTAAATATTACGAAAGGTCGCCAAAAGGGAGTGGATTTACGTCTCTTCATCTCGCATTTAAAGATAATTGGCAACAAGGCATTGAAATTTTATTTAAATACAAGCACTTATTATATACGTTTGATAAAAGCAAGAAATCTCCCTTGGCATATTTTGCAGATCAGCAAAATATCGAAACAATTCCTTTAGTTATAAAATTAATCACCAAACATGATTGTAAGAATGCTTTAAAGCATGTTCATGGTCGAGATATGACATTTGTTCAATATTGTATTGCAAATAAACTTGATTTAATGACAAATGCACTTTCAGCATTTATTGAAGCGGGATTAATAGAAGAAAAAAGCTTTTTAGAACTTTCATTTTCTAAGTCATCAGATCCATCGCTTTCAAAACTATTTCGAGAAACAGCAAAATATAGTTTAGAGTACAAATTAAAACTATGGATGCAACCTGATTGTTATAAGTCAAACAGATTTTCTCCAACATACTTGGTCGGAAAAAATGTCGAACAAATCCAAGCACACTTAAATAATCTGATTTACCTTTCTAACATGCTTAGAACTGATATGAAACCACTTCCAAGCAACGTTTCTGAGGACAAAATCATAGATCATTTACTGCAATTTGAAGCTGGCGAGCAAAGATTTTTAAATTATTACATAAATTCAGACTATTTGAAAATAATTTACGAGGATGTAAAGGTTAACTCGATTCCTTATGAAAATGATACATTTATTATACCAAATAACAATATTGATTTTTGGTATCGTTTCGGATTCATTTTTGGTCTCGTTTGTGTATCAGGATCTTATCTAGAATTTCCTTATAAGCTTTCTCCTTTATTTTATGACAAAATTGTAAATAAAAATACCAAACTTGACTCGGGCACATTAATTGACTACATTAAAGGCACAGATCCGAAATTGTATTCGAAATACTTAAAATCAAAGCAAACTGAATTTTTCAAAAAAGTGAATGAAGTAAATCCAAGCGGCGATGTAATACCGCAGGAAAACTTTATGGAAGATTTCATACATGAAAATATACCCCCTGAAATAATTTCTTCCCAAAAATTCATCTTAGATTCTCTCGGATCTTTCGCACAAGGCTTTCTAAAATTTAAAGATAGTATTAGCACTGTTACTGAACGAGGGAGAATTGCTTTTAAGATGCTGGAAATCATAGAAAAAAATAAATTGAATCAAATTCCAATGATTTGGTTTGAAGGATTGAAAATACAGAACTTTTATACCATGGATGATAACTTTAATGATAAAAGCAGCGAAAGTATCTTTGAAATTTATAAAGATCTTTATGAAATCCATTTTGTATGCGAAAAAGGAGATAAAATTCAATCATATAATTTCGCAGCCAATAAAAAGGCTATTGAATATAATTCATTAAGTAGCATTGAAAGTATTCATAAAATTCTTCTTTCATATGGAGGAATTCACAAATGTTTGCCCCTTGCACAGAACATTATTAAATTCATGTTTATTCTTACTAATTCGCGACGTCAAAATATATTTAAGGCCATCAAAGGAACAGATATGATCTTAATGTACAATCCAAGTGATAATATAATTCCTATCAAGCATCATCCAATAACATCTATAGATCCTCAGACATTTTATGAAGAATATGAGATTTTGTTCTAAAAAATTAATAAAGATTTATTTTGTTTTTTATGTGCTAATGAAAAACTAATTTTTATACATTGGATTGTATTGGAAGCACTATGTTTAAAGAAACGTTTCTCTAAAATTGATTCTAATTTAATTTCGTTGCCAAATGTAAAATAAACTTCAGAATCAGTTATTTCTGCTGTTCAGCATCAGATTTCAATACATAAAAACAATCATTATTTAATTCACGATACTGTGTCACTTTTTAATGTTATCTCTTCTTTTTACACTCAGTTTCAGCGAAAAACTAAAGCCGATTGTATTAATACCAGGCGCAATGCGTTCTCGCTTGGAAGTAAATTCTACTCGTGATACAATTTCTTACTGTTCTCATAAAAATAAAAATCTTGCTTGGCTCAACGTATTTTCATTTGTTCCACCTTTCATTAATTGCTTCTTTGACTATTTTGCACTTGATTACGATGAAGAAAAAGGTATTTCTCATTCAAAAGAAAACGTTTCGATCAAACCACAAGGAAACTTTGGCGAACTGGACAATATTATTGGAACGGGACCTAAAATCTTTGGATTGCGTCTTTTTGGATACCTTAACAAATTTATTGACAGACTTAAAGAAATTGGTTACGTCGAGAAGCAAAATTTGTTTGCAGCACCATACGATTGGAGATTAGGTGTTGCCCATCTCGGTGAATACTTCGATAATCTTCGCAAACTCGTAGAAAACGCATATACACTCAATGGCAATACTAAAGTCCATTTATTCTCCCATTCACTTGGTGGCTGGGTCATCTATGTATTCCTTACCGAAAAAACAACACCAGAGTGGCGCCAAAAGTACATTGACGCTGTCACTTTATCTGCACCTTCATGGAGTGGCAGTGGAACAGCATTATCTGGTTTTGTAAGGCATACCTTACCATTTGTTCCATTTTACAAGACCGATCGCCTCCGTGATTTCATTGATTCGCTCGGAATGTATCATATTCACTTACCTTCATCATTCTACTACGAAAACGATACATTAGTTGTTAAAAAGGACGGACAAAATATTAAAGGCAAAGACGTCATCAAATACATCAAATCCGTGTTTTCAGAAAAACACTTCAAAATGGCTGAAGCAAACTTCAATTTAACCAGCAAACCGCATAAACCTCTCGACGTACCTACAAACATCGCTTACAATAGCGGAATAAAGCAAACAATGGGCTACGACTTGAAACACGGAAAATCAATACAAATGGAAGGTGACGGACTTGTTGGATCGAAGGGACTTGACTGGGTTTGCAAGAATTGGAACAAGGCAGACCTCAGATGCCACAATTTCAACTCTTCAAGTTTGAAATTTATTCATCAACTTCTTCCAAGATCAAAAGAGGCAACAGATGTCTACTTAGATATGATATTCAATGGAAAAGTTCCTAAGCCTGCAAAAACAACAAATAAGGCTCAAGAAGAACTTTAATTTTTATTATTATTTTTATTTTGTTATAGATAAATATAATTTTATCCCGAATTGTTTTTCACACTATTCAGTTAATTCTTACTCGAAGAGATTGGTTTTAGATATGAGATTAATCACAAACATTTTGAAATGATTATAACTATTGTTAACATAAGCATGGGAAACATAATTTTGTTTCGTATTTTGCGAAAATTCCTTAAATTGATAGGTATACCATGCTGGATGAAGAAAATTATAGCTTATCAAACATATTTTCGATTAGAATAAAGTCAAGATGTTATATTTACGGTCAATAATGGGAAAGCATAAAAAAGTTCACCAAACTTTGCAAAGGATCTTATATTTGACCAAAGTTTGGGTAACAAGGGATCTTTAAAAAAATATGTATGAAATAATATTTAAACATTAATACTAAGTTACTTTTTCTGGACTTTGGAGAGGACGGATCTAAATAAATGTGTGAAAGCTTCGGAAACGTTTTTACCGCTCTTTGCTGAAGTTTCAAAGAACTGCATACCGTATTTCTTAGCAAAGTCAGCACCTTCTTGTGCAGTAACTGCTAATTTGGCGCCATCACATTTATTTCCTGCAACAACACAGCAAGTAATATCTCCTCCATACTTCTTTGCTTCATCTATCCATCTCTGAAGCTGTGTGAATGTTTCTCTTGCAGTCATATCGAAAACTAAAATATATCCATCTGTATCGCCGTAGAATTCGTTTCTAACTTCAATATATGAATCATCACCTGACATATCCCAGAAATGGGCATAAAAATTTGTATTGTCTACATTGAATTGACGTGCACCATAGTCAATTCCAATTGTTGGAATATATTGAGTAACAAAACGGTTGCCTTCGCAAAACCTTTTGATTAAACAGCTTTTTCCAACACGACTTTCACCAAGAGATACTATCTTGATCTTTCGGATTGGCTGATTGTCGTCTTTGGACATCTTTGATAAAATTTCAAAACGTTCATGACGATTATTGTAAATTAAAATAAAAGCATCAATAATCGAATAAATGGCGGAAAACAGCTTTGATAGTTCTGTAACATACAAAAGCATGTGAGTACATGTGTGTGTAAATATATATTTGCTATCACTTAGTAAAGATACACTAACAAATGTGTATTTTTTTTTTTAAACGCACTAGAAAGGGTCAAAAAGTGTCATTTTTTAAAATGAATTTTCCGGATGCTGGTAATACTTTACAAGAACAAAAATTTGCAATATCTATCCTCAGAGAAAATTTAAATATAGAATCTTCCTTTAAGTTTATTGATTATTTGCATTTTAAAGAAAAATTCTTGCTGATTCACGGAATGATTAAGAATGATAATGTTGTTATTTTTCCATTATCCCATGACTGGAAGATTCCATCAAAAAATATCTCTGATTTTGCAGAATTTCAACCAGAATTGAAGCACCTTCTTTCAATGGCAGCTCCTGACGGAAGTTGTATTATATATGAACTAAAATCCTTCGATTTTGCGAATTTGACAGAAAATTCTCAAAATTCCGATTCCGATTAAATTAAAAGAAACCAACCGCCCTGTTTTTAGTGGAATACACTAAGATACTGGATTGTTCAACTTGGTATTAACAATGAATAAGATTCATATGCAAATATATTAAAATGTATCCCCATGAATAATCAATGCATCTATCAGCGAGAAATTGTCATGGGATCTGTATTTCTCGTTCCAAAATCAATTTTGGAAAACAAAAAATTAATAAAAAGTTATTACCATATAAACCATATTTTTAGCTAACCCATACATTCACTAGCGGTTTTTCACCAGAAACAATCATATTAGATAAATCATTTCAAATTTCGAAATATTTATCATGAAAACATGAGATGTTATAAATAAAACCACAAAGTCTTACATGAGGATTATGAAATGGAATAAATAAAAATGAATACAAATAAAAAAAAATCAAAAATATATTTGAAATTTCGCAGAATATTAAACTCAAAAGAGTTCTTTTCTAACCAAAAAGAGAAGTTTGCATTGTTAAAATCAGTACCAATTTTAAAAATCGAAAAATAAATTTCTAATATTTGTAAAATACGAAGGAAAAGCATGATGCCTTGAAATTTATATGATATTTATCTTAAGCGTGGTACCATCTCGATTTCCTGCGGCCACGAGCCATTTCGAACTTACGGCCGTGAGAAGCAACCTTTGGACGTGTCTTGGAGTTGTCATCACCTGGGGCAGCGCCGAAGTGCTTGTTAACAAGGCGGCGTGTGCGATCACCTTCAAGAAGGAGGCACTTGTCACCTGTTGGGCGGAGTTGAGCAAGCTGATCGAATGTGATGCATTCACCACCAGCAGCAAGGATGCGGGCGCGGGCGGTTTCTGTGAACTTAAGAGCGCAAACCTTCATCTTTGGAACTTCAAGGAGGCGTTCATCATTGGTAATCTTAGCAACAAGAACGGCGATTGTCTCAGCTTCCTTGCCGTTAAGAGCTGTAGCAAGGCGGCTAAGAGAGTATGGGCGCCTGTTTGTGCGGGAAATGCAAAGGCGATGGGCAATCTTGGCATTGAAGTCGTTGCCTGTACGACGAGCGAGAAATGCGTAAAGGTTGTGGAGCATCTTCATTTGGGCATCAGCTGTCTTTGGCTCTTGCCTCTGTTTACGGGGAACTCTGTGATCGAGATCAACACCCATTTCAAAAGGGAGACCAAAACCGTTTTTTCAATACAAATTTGACATAAATAATGAGAGATAAGATGCAATTTTATAATGATTTTGATTTATGATCGATGTCTTTCTTAGAATATATCAAAATTTTTGCTAAACTTTCTAAAATTAAATCTCAAATCATTGATGAATCACTCTCCCATCTATTTTAGCTTTGATATCAATTTACTTTTACCAACTTGACTCTATAGTTTTCTCACTAGTTACATATTCATTCAAATAGATTGTAGACAATCAGATTCATAGTTACACAAAGTGCTAATAAAAGAATTGACTTAATCCATTGGATTAGAAGAATAAGGGAGGGATATCAGAGAAATTATATTCATGACTACCTGTTAATTAGAAAAATTCGTCATAAAAAAAACAATTTATTATCAAACAACAATGCATAGGTACGTGAACATCATAGTGATATAGAAGCTCATTGGAATGCTAAAGCAAATTATTTATTTTCTGTTTTAAGATATGCAATCTTAGCCTTCTGTTTTGCTCTCTCGATTTTCACTGCATTAATACTTGATTTCAAACTATCATTTTCTGCATTCAGCTTCATTAAAGTATTTTCTAGGAGTTTAATTTCATTGAGATATTCCATATTTTCTCTTCGCAATTTTTTATACTCATTATATTCATGAACATTTTGATATGATTTTCTATTATTAGATTTTGCCTTTGGAGGTGATAAACTTGCTTTAGTAGCGCGATTTCTAGAAATTTGTGATTTTGATTTATCAATTTTTGCTTGTTGCTTGTATGAATTCATATCTATAGGAAATTCTTTAACTTGAGATTCTTTACGAGAATTTAATGTTGTAGTATTTCTAATATTTTCAGATTTGCGTTTAGAATAATATGAATTTTGTGGAGGACTGCGATTAAACAGTTCATCATTTGAATCTGAATCTGAATTTATTGGGTTTGATATTCGCGTAATTTTGGTTGTTCTAATATCACGAGAATTAAAAGATTCTTCTTCCTTAGAGTTTTGATCGATTAATTGACGGGATTTTTGTATAAATTCACTTATGTCATTATTTGTATTTGTGCTGTTAACTGGAACTACAGATAAGGCTATTGAATCATCCCAATCATCCCAAATTTTACGAGACTCTATATCCAGAAGTCGAACGGCTTCTTCAATTCTATCTTCTGGCGAATAATCGTGTTCTGCCTCGGAAAGTATAGACTCTATTGCTTTCTTTTCAGGTGTGCTTAAGTGATGAGAACTCATTAGTGTACGTTTATTTTACAAATTGGAAGGAATTATCATCTTCCTTTCTGCCTGATATGCTAGAAATGAAAGAATTGATTAAGGTAGCTTAATTTGATACTCTAAACGGCACCTATATTGTTAATGTTTGAAATTGATAACAAAGATGTTGATTTGTTTCGATTTTTGATTAATTTTATGAAATCGCCTAGATGTACACATTGAATTTGATCGTTTTTTAAAGAACTACAGGATTCCAAGTGAGAACTCGGGATTTCTTGTATTATAAAACGCTTTCAATAAATTCCTCTTGATTTTCTAATATAAGAATTATATTTGCTATTGCACGCCATATAGAAAATTGGTAAATGTAGTTAGAACAATATTTCATATTTGATTGTGTAAACAATAAGTAAAAATTGTAAACAAAAATGATATTTATTACGCACAAAGTAATAATATTAACAACTCTATTGCTTATCGGAAATGAATGGTACCATTTCTTCAGGATTTCCTTTTATAACTTTAGATGTGCTATTAATAAAGAATATATAGCCAACTATACTCAAAAATGCACCAACAACAGTTAAAATGTTTTGTGTGAAATTATCTCCGCCAAGTGGATTAGCAAACATGGATAACAGTAATATCGAGATAGATTTAAGGCTGTTTGTAACTTGGAATGATAATGGAGAGGTATATCCAATGAGCATGAAAGCAGAAACATTGACCCAAATGGCCAAAAAGCATGTAAATAAGAAAAGAAGTAAATCTAAAAGCTGGAAATCGTAAGTCATGAAGCTTCCTTCGCCGGTCGCTTCTAATAAAGTCGAGATTATCATTCCAGATATAAATTCATAGGGAATAACTGAAAGCTGGAGCTCTGCACCGTTCATTTGATATTTCCTTTGAAAATCTTCTATGAGTAATTGGGAATATGCTGTTGTGATAACTCCGAAAATTGAGTAAAACATGCCTTTAATACTGTACTGAAGATCGGTGATGCACATTACGCAAGTTCCAAAAATAGCAAGGCAAATAGATCCGTATTCAATAGATTTATGTCTGAAATGTCGAACAAAAATATTATGAAATAGTATTACTGGTATGATAAATGCTTTGGATAACTGATGAAATGATAATGAATTTGTCTGAAGTGAAGCATTTTGTAAGAAAACAGATGAAATAACGAGAATTGCTAGAATAATACGACTAAAAATGGGAATATTTGATGTCCTTCTGATATTATTTGTAAACGCTGCTAATTCAAGCATACACCATGTTGCTAAAAAATGATATGTTGAAATTGTAGCAGCATGTTTGCATCTGATTCGTCTTGCAATGATTTTTAGAGAATGTACAAGAGCTGTGGATGTTATTGTACTAAAAATGGTGAAGAAATTTATCTTGAAACTTGTTGGAGCCATCAGATAAAATTTTGAATCCAAGAATTTTCTATTTTCATTTGTGAATGATAATATATGATATTATTTTTCCAAAATTTGAGAATTCGTCACAATAAAATGATCAAAAAGCATCAACTGTTACAATCAGAAGCAAAGATATCGACCAAAAGTATGCACATTATGCTCAGCAAATGAAGTATAGTAATGATGTTTATACACATTGTATGACTTCTGTTTGATTTCGAGATATATTATGAACTATTAAAATATCTATCTCTTACCTGCAAATGAAGATATTTTATTGCATTATGAAAGTCAACACAAAAAGCTCTGCTCATGATGAGCAGAATTCGATGTTAAGAAAGTAAATGGTTTATTCTCGGGACTACTTTTAGGAATTTGTTTAAATAAACACTTTCATCCGTTTTCCTTCTACAAATGCATATAAAATATGCATTAAATTGGTTAGTAATATAAAACAAAATTAATATTTGGTTTAATAAGTGGTTAAATATTCTATCATACTAATCATTCCTTCTTAAAACGAGATTGTAGAAACAATATCTATGTGTGATAGTTGGAGTAATTGTTACATTGAGTGGAATTTTGATAAGTTTTGAAAACTATTTATAGTATGTTCAAATATATTAGATCTCAATAACTTATGTTACCATTTACTGTAAGCAATCGATATTACGTGATTGATGAAAATCGATATCAATATTTGAAAATTTCAAGTCCTTTTTGACTGGAAACTATTACCTTGATCATATGGGATAAAGTTCTCCTTGATGAATTTTTCCAAATTTTTGAGATTTTTGAAAATGCCTAAGCAAGTTTTCTGAAAATGATTACGTTTTTTACAATTCTCGATTTTGTTTGGAAAAATGAGGTTAAAAATCTTGAAAATTTAAAATTATTGTAGAAATAAAGGAATAACATTGAATTTAAATCGAAGAATGGATTTTGATTTTGTTACTTTATAATTTTTCTTCTAAAAGATGTCAATACTAGAGTAATAATTTATAATAATTTTTTATAAAAATAAACAAGTAACTCATTTTCAAAAATTTTAACCCACACATATTCAAACATAGCTAATATGGTATATATTTTATCAAGCATTGGTAGTAATTTAAAAATATAATTGAATCAAATAAAGGATTTGCTTCACATATCGCAAATTAGAGGTAACATCTCGAAAGTAATCAACAAAATCATGAATTTATTCAAAGATAAGTTCAAGATATATATTGTAATATGATTTCGATAATAAATCTGAATAGAATGCGTATCAAACTCGCATCTTTAGATTTCTCATCAAAACGTTTTGATCAGTTAGAGACCATTGCTTCAGAACAAGAAATATTAGATCAGTATCTCATAATCAAGCAGAAGTTAAGCTAAGATATCTTATCCTGTAGGATGTATAATGCTGTATAAGAATAATTAGTCAATTTGTTGAATCAATATTGATTTAAATTTTTTTATGCGTAAATGGTACTTTGGTTATCATTGGTAATACATAAAGTTGCTACTGAAGTAATATTTCGTAAAAATAAGAGTATCAACTTTATTGCAAGATATGATTAGACGAACATCGAATAATTGGATCTTTGCAATAATAACATTCTTCAATCTCTAGTTTATCATTGTTTCATACTAATAATACGAATCAATACTGTTTCAATGACCAGAAAAAGCCTAAAACAATCTTCTCAGTTGCCACTTTTCGTGACCTAAAAAAGTGTTGAAAAAAAAGCAGTTTTGTGCGGACATAAAAACTTAGTGTTTTTCTAAATAGTATGTATCTCCTTGTTCGATGAGGATTACCCCGACGGGCGGTCTGAAATATGACGATAGTCGGAAATCTGAGAATCATCGGAACCTTTTTTTTAAAAAACTAACACACAGAATTATTTTCTTTAGATCGTAACAGTTATATCAAATATCTTCAAGTTATACTTCATTTATGTGGTTCCAAGCTTTATTTCCTTACCCTGTTTGCTTACTTCACCATATTTGAATAAATATTTTATTTAATCTAAAAAAATAACTTTGTACTTTTGCGTTTTTAATACTTCACAGATATGATTTTCATTCCAATTTCTTATGTAATGAAGCTGTTTAATTTTTCGAAAGAATTCTTCATTCTCAGCTTTATCAGCTTTTTCTTAAAATCGTTATCATATAAATGATCTCCGATCCGCAAGGTTGGTACCTAAGGTGTTAGAAACTAATACCAATTAGGGGAAAATATTATATCATGAAACAGATGCTTAATAATTAGCATGTATACAGAATAAACATCATTAAATTACTTTCCAATAGCCTGGGCACCTTAAATATATAAGATATCCATGGATAAAAGATTTCCAAATTTTTAATAAAAGTGACATCGATGATCGCAAATTTTCAATTATAAATGGAGGAAGTTCGCGAATTTGAAATTCCAAAAAATAGACCAAACTTAGAAGCTGACGTTACTATCTCACAACCATTGAAGCACAGACTATCAAATAACTCAATGCCTGGGCAATTAACAACAATGTTAATGGCTTCTACAGCAGTTTTAATGAACTTTGATCCAATATTTATGTGGATTGCTCTCTTCATTTCTTTTACATTAGTTATAAACGGCCAGCCAACTCTTGCAGTTAGATTAACTCCCACATTATTTGGAGGTATGATAATATTTAGATATGCTATGATTGTAAATGGAAAAGCTCCACAATTCAATAATATATTCCCCCCATTATTTAAGCAATATTTTTATTTTATTAATAATTTTCTCCCAAAATTGTTATAGATCAATTAATACCAAATACTCACATATTTCAGTAATTTTTATACTAAATAAATCATTGTTTTTATTATTATATATTTTCCATTATTTTTTTTTTAATGAAGAGTTTTCGCATTGGTTGAATAATAGTAAAAGCATCAAGTTGTATGGTGCAACAAGGTAAATAAAGTATATTTTGAATAATTGAATAAAATATTTCTTTGACTCTGATACCTGCGATTAATCAAAAGCATACATTATCTGCATATGTGAAATCAGCATGTTCCTTGCATTCCAAACAATGGAAATAACAATTTTCAAGATTTATTTTTGTAAAAAAGACACATCCTGCCAGTATTTCAATGAAAATCATAATTTTTATCAATCAATATCATTAATTCCAAAAAGAAATTTTTGTCATATATTTCGATTGAATAAAGGTGACTCGTATATCATTTTTTTTTTCTCAACATTTCTAAAGTTAATGGAAACTATTATTGCTGATCTGGAAAACAACATTCATAAGCTCGAGGCAATCGAAAAGGATATTGCAGAAAATCCATTCAACCCCGTCAAGCAGCAGGAACTTTTGACATCAGAAATGAATGCCCTTAAAGACAAAGTATTAAATCTTTCGAAGGTTTGCTTGACTGATATCAATAAAACAATCGAAGAATACGACAAAATGACTAAAGATATCACTGCAATGGAAGGATCATTAAAGTATGTAAAGGAAAAGTTTGGATCGGATGTTATTGTTAAAGGCTTCCTCCCACCACCATTCGAGCCAGAGAAGGACAGCGAACAAGAAAACAACATGCCAAAAATCGAATTACCAACAGGAGATTACGTCCTTAACTTTAGTGCTCTTGATCAAATCGGACAAACAGTTGACTGCGTTGCAAACAATATTGAAGGTATGCCGCTAATCAGGGAAATCCCTCCTGACAGAAAAGAGCAATTACTTTGGTCTAGAAACGAAGATTATTTCGTCGAGCAGAGAACAGGACCAACCTACGATCCAGCAATGTCAACGTTTGTACAGAATTATGGCATTGAGCCTTCACTTTATCCAACTGAGCCAGATGCTGATCGCTCTACAACACAAGGCGAGATTGAACATGCCTTGAATGCAAGCGCTGCTGAAGACGGATCTTTATTGGCTCAGGCTCCTCCAGCAGCTGAAGTTGACTAATCAGGTGCAATTCCACCTCCTCCCCCTCCACCAGCAGAGGCACCACAGTGAAATAAGTATTTCAGCGACAAATGTATATTTTTAATCTTTCTTTTTTACGATTCGATAAATAGTATAATTTTTTTTTCCTTTTAACTCTGATATTTTTGTATGAAATATAACTGATTGGAAATAATCCATCTGTAAATGTATTATTCTGTCATTTATATGTCATTATATGTCTGAGCAATTCCATGAAAAAGAAAAGGTACTGGCATATCATGAAGGAACTCACGAATACCTTAAGGCAGTAATCGTAGGTATCGATGAGGAAAAGAAAATGGCATATGTTCACTATCATTTATTAGATAAAAGAGAAGAAAGATGGATAAATTTAAATTTAATACGAAAACGCAAAGCATCTCGATATGCAGAAGGTGTAGAACCACCATCTATCAATATTTCTTCTGATCAATCAGATTATTCTGATGATGATTACAGATCTCTTTTTGAAATTAACTTCTCCAAGAGGCATAGAGAGAGACAAACAATTAGAAACATTAATAAAATCATTTACGGCACAACAGAAATCAATACATGGTATTTTTCACCATATCCAAAACAATTTTACCAAGATACAATATACATATGCGATCATTGTGCATCATATTTTCTTACAAAAGAAGATTTAGAACAGCATATACAAGAAAACAGCGAAATAAATCCACCCGGAAAAGAAATTTATCGAAAAGACAACATTTCTATCTTTGAAATCAGCGGGTTTAGTAACAAATTTACATGTCAATCACTAGCATTACTATGTAAACTCTTTTTGTACCAAAAAACTATTATCTACGATATTGAAGGTTTCATCTTTTATGTTCTATGCGAAGCAGACGAAACAGGAGCTCACATTGCTGCTTTCTTCTCCAGAGAAAGGGAGTCGTACGCAGGAAACATCTTAAGCTGCATAGTTACTCTACCTCCTTACCAAAAGAAAGGATATGGAACTCAGCTCATCTCTCTCGCGTACGAGATTGCGCGGCGTTCAAAGAGATGCGGGCCTCCAGAACACCCTCTGTCGCACTTAGGGAGATTAGCTTTCATTCGGTACTGGAGCAACATCATGGTGATCACTCTATATGAGAACAAAGGAAAGATTAATGATATAAAGGACATCGTAGTTAGGACAGGGATCGATATGCGTGATGTTATCGAGGCCTTGAAATCACTGAATTTAATTGTGAGCCAAGATGGGGAAACATTTGTTGTTCCCGATTGGAACACAATTGAGAAATCTTATACCCTGATTAAACAAAAAGGATTTGATATAATTGATACCAAAATGTTAATCTGGGATCCAACAGAAGAAGATATATAAATAAACTATCAATATAAAATATTTAGTTAAAATTGACATTTTTTAACACAAATATGAAATATCAAGATGCTGGATCTTAACAGAACTTCGACCATTCTGGTTATCTTTTAGAAAAATCATTTGTACAGCGAAGAAACAATCAGAGGAATATAAGAATTTTGTCAATTCCTTTGTTGGATACATTATAAGATAAAGGAACATTGAAAATAAAGATAATTATCAAGTTCGCTGATCACCTAAAACATGTCAACAAATTTGTCAATTCCGTTGTTGAACGAATAAAGAATAATAATCGAATCAAGTTAATTTGGAATGTAATATTTCGTTCATGTGATAAATCTTGTCTTCCTCTAAAGAATCATGTTTCGCTTGCTTCACATTTTTCACAATGAATTAATCAGGGCTTAAAATCTCATATACCTTCTCTGCTTTTGTTTGAATTTCTTCTCCATAATCTGAAGATGAAAGACAGTGCTCAATGAAGTCAGAGCAATTTGAAGCCAAGTAGTTTCGAAACTGATTTCCACCAGATTCTTCTTCCTGAATAAGACCATTAAGAAGTCCGGTTAGTATGATAAGAACAGTGTTTTCTCCAAAATCTTCAAAATTTTCAAGAATTATTTCAAGAATTTTTGATTCTTTAATATTAGATATATCAATGAAGTCTGCGTAACTAATTAAGATTGAAATACATGAGTAAACAAGATATTTCACAATTTCAGAACAATCTTTGAGAATAACTTCAAAAACATTCAGAATGTTGCACTCTATTGCTTCTCTTACATATTGCGATGATAGTGTGCATATAGATGCAATAACTGGAATAGAGTATTGGGATAAATCAGGTTTTGATTCAATGAATTGAGTAATTCTTGAGATAAAGCTATCATTTTTATCAAAATCATAGTTTGATATCGTTAATACTGTTAATTGATTCTTTGCAATACAATTAAAAACTTTTAGTAGTTCAATTTGAAAATTTTCGTCGTCTGAATCTAATAAATCAAATAATTGATCAAAATTATTGGCAATCAGTTCTGCAGTATAGTCAGAAACCATTTTTTGAAGGACTTTCGCTGCTGAAATTTTGAAATCCGAATTAAGAAATTCAACAACAACACTAAACAATTCTTTACTTGCTTCATTACAATTAGATACTAAATGCTTCATAACTTCTAAACACGAATTTACTAATGCTTTTTCTTTTAAATCTTCTAAAATTATGTTAATCATTCCATTTTCAATAAACTTCAGACACATAGACTGATATTTACACAAAACACTTATTAGCATTAAATTTTCATTAGAAAATTCATAGGATTGTCCTTTTTGCGAAATTATTTTTTGAATTATTGTGTCATTAACTACACTCTGTGCTAGATTTGGATGATATTCGAAGAGTTTTCTGCAGAAACGAAAAATACATATCAATTGCTGATCTGTTTTTGGTGATGATAACGAACTTAATATGAATTCTGTAATACCTGTTGAATTTTCATTTATTAAGTCATAGTTAACATATTGTATCGAGTCCCAAACATGAAGTGGTATTTCGAAAAAATTCTCAATTAAACCTGAGAAAAAATCAACGCAAATACGGGTAAAATCGGACTCATTTTGATTAAATATCCTATCCTCTAGTCTTTTTTCTTGCTTCCTGCTCTGAGATTGGCTCAAATTGAATTCCAATAGAAAATTAAAAAAGATTGTCACTTTTATTCCAAAATTATTTTGTTTGAACTTTAATCATTGGTACCTTTTTTGGGATTTTGGATATTAAATCATAGCTCATTGGAGACAATACCAGCCAATATCATCGTTGAACATCTTTAAAATGATTTTTAATTTTAGTAGTATATGTTGACGGGTTGTGTGACTTTTTTTGTAAACGTAAGAATTCATACAATATCGAACAATTTTGTATCATTTTTTTTAACATATGAAGTAAAAAATGTATGATTCTTACGGTTTTTATTCTTACGTTGAGTAGGTGACAAAAGTGCATACTCTTAAACAACCGTCGGATTTCCGGGTGAAATCGTGACACACTTTCGTCTTTCGTAGGCAGTGGTGGTTGTTACAAAAGGTAACTTCGAATGTAGCGTGAAATCTGCAAAAAAAATTCTGAAATTTGAATGGATAACACAAAAATTGAATAGTTTACGTCAATAAAAAAGAGAAAAATGAAGCCAATGTGTCTCGAACCTAGGACGTAGAGCAGCAATCACACTGTTTATCCCATTACACTACATGCATCTCTCACCTCAGTCAATGAGATCAACTATATGATAACTTTTTCCCCATTAGATTCTTGTGGAAAAGTGACAAATAGCAACTTTGACCCTCTCTCTTCTTACGTTTTTGAATAAATCAAGATTTAAAAAATTTTCAAAATTGTAAGACATTTAGACTCATCCCATACATAATGAAATAAATCATTAAAAAATTAACATTAATTTTAAAATAATTTATTTTTTTATCTTTTATAAAAGAAGCTATATATAGATGATGTCAGATATTCCGCGATTAATTAAACATTGTTTAAATCCTGAATGGGTTAAACTTCAATTTAAAAATGAAGATTGTGAATTATTAAATGAATATGAAAGCCAAAATAAGCTAATGAGGTATAAATATAATGATAAAGAATATTTAATTTCATGGAATCAATGGAGTCATAATCAAAGACCTCATAAACGAGTAAAAGAAATTGAAAATAAACTTCTTACGAAAAATTAAAACTTAGTTATGTTTATTATTTTATTTTTTTATTTTGTATGAAATGAGTGAATCAAAATTCGTGACTGTAAATCAATTAATGAATAAACTTTCACCAATTCTCACCCAGGTTAAACAAGTAGACGTTTATTTTGATGATTACATACAAAGTTTATTTTATAAAGGTAAGTTTAATATTAAACCTATTGCTTTTGCATTTGATGGTAAATTAATCGAAAATTCAAAAATTTGGGAATTAATTCCGGATATTGAATTTATAACAAATATTAAGGATAAATGGTTTAAACAACAAAACCACCTCACTAAAGTTCTTTGTAGATTAATGATTAAAACTGAGGAAAAAGAATTTAACAGGTTTAAATATCATCCATGTAAAATTTTAGAACTTGGTAACGAAAAACTTCAGAAAAAATTAAACGCAAGACTATCAAAAGATAGAGTTGAAAGAGTAAATAAACTCGCTAAAGGTAATGGTAATGATGAAGAAGAATTTGATGAGTTCAACATTGAACTTTAAGAAACTAATGATTATTTGAATTTATGAAATCAATTATTTGATTCATTCTTTCTTCAATCTCTTCTATTCTTTTTGTTAAATCATCAATTTTCATTAATGAGGTGATTCTTGATTGAGGAATAGATTTCAAACTAACCACTCCTTTTATTTTTGAAATTTTGAATCCATCAACTTTAAACATTTTATTCAATTTACATGTTGTCAATTCTTCAAATAATTTTTTATTATTAGCATAATAGTCATTAAATTCTTCAACAGATGAAAAAATTTTTATTTCAGTAATTGGTTTAACAACGTTTATTTTTTGTTGAACATTTTCACTTTCATTTATTTCTTCCTCCTCTGTTTCATTTATTTTTAAAATCGGTTTCATTTATCATTAAATAAAAATTAGAATATAAGTGATGAAATATATTTTTTTAATTAATATTAAATCAGAAATGGCGGCAGGATTCTTTAAAAAATTATGGGATGGAATTAAGAAAGCTGCGGGTTGGGTTCATAAAAAGATTATTAAACCCATTGCAAACTTTTTGGCACCAGTAGCGAAAACGGCAGGAACTATCATAGGTGGAGTATTAGGTACTAAAGCAGGTAATCCGGCGATGGGAGCACAAGCAGGTAACGCAATTGGTGAATAGCTGAAGGAATACTTAATAAAATAGGAGGTAGATAGTGGAAAAATAAATTATTTTAAAATTATTTTTATCTTAGTATCGGTTGTAGTCTTTGATAAACTTTTTCTCCTTTATTTAAAACTTCTCTTATTGGGGCAGCTTTTGGTGTTATTGATTCAGCAACGTCACTAATTGCTCTTTATTCTTAAATATCCAATTTGCTCCCTTCTTCAATGTTTCCCAAACTTTACTCGCTCCTCTTTTTACTTTATCCCACAGTTTCTTAAATATACCCGCAGCCATAGTTGATTATTTCATTAAAATTAAAAATTCATTTTCATCTTTTAATTTTGTTTTTATTTATTAATAAATGACGACTAACTATTTGGTGCCAAACACTAAACCGATTAATGGAAATGTGTTTCATTCATTCGAAAAGATAAATGAAATATTCGCAAAGAATGACGGTAGAAGATTATTATAGAGAACTTGAAAGTTCATGCTATGACTCTGATGCTCCATATTTTGATGATAAACAAACTCATTTAAGAATTACAATCCGGCTCATGATGTGAACCAATTAGGTGACACATATATTAAACGCAAAGTTAAAGCAACTCTAGTTTCAAATAAAGCTTTCACATGTGATGCCGCTTTTAAATGCATGCGTTTATTCGTTGGTTACAAATCATCAAATCAAAGCTTTAAACAATTAGAAGTAGAAACCGAAAGAGGTGATGCCGGTTATCTTCAGATGGATTGCGCCCGTGAATCTTTCGCATTTGCAACATATAAACCAAAATCAGAAAGGAAAGTTAAAAAGTTTTGTTCATTCGTTATATAATAATGTTCAAAAATATGATAACTCAGTATGTGGTAAATATATTGACCCTTCAGAAGTTTTTCAAGAAAGCAAATGAAGAAGTTGATATCACTTTTGATATGATTATTCCGGTAAATGATTTGTTAGCATTTCAGGCGTTCGATGATTATCCTAAATCATTTGTGAAATCATTCTTAAATATTATGTTTTCAGGGATACTTTAGTATTTTGTCAGGTTGACCCGTTAAGAGTTGCTGATTTACAAAATTACGTTTATGAAAAGATAACTGATGAAAATTACGAAAAGATTATGAATCATGTTTATAAATATGATCGCAATTCCAACAAATCGGACTTCCTGCCAAATTAATTACAAGCTTAGCCGCTACATCTGCTGAGGCAACAGTTGATGACGTTATTATTTCATGCACAAAGATGAAGTTTTAGAGGATAAATGCATTACACCAGGATACGTTTAATTGAAGAATCAGTTAAAGCAATACCACGTTTATTTAGTAAGGAAGATCCATTCATGATTCCAGCTCAACATATTGACGTTCGTTCACTAAATGGAGGTTGCATCACTCCTGAAGGTATTAGCTCAGATTTCTCATACGCTCTTCCATAATGTTACAGATGTTGTGTTAACATTTCCGAAGAATGCAATGCAAAGAACGGTTTTAAGAAAATCCAATGCTTCGAGGTCTTCAGGTCACTATAGATTCCAGAAACTTCCCCGATCAAGCGATGACCACAGTGGGCGACATATTCTTTACACGTATGCCTCAAGCTTCTGATTTAGATGGAGTGAATGAATGCACAGAAGAATACGAGGACTCATTAACTAGACCACTGAATGCAGATGATGGCACGCCATTAGCTAGAACATGGAAAGACCAAACTTCATTCTTATGCACTATTCCAGTTCAACGTGATGGAGCGGGTATATTCTTTGATGGATTAGAAACTTTCAACTCACAAGTTACAGTACAAGTGAAAGCTTATCCAATCATTCAGGGTGAAAATGACACTTACTGTTCAAAGGTGACAAATCCTCCTCAGGTTTGGTTTACTAGGACTACATATTGGACATGGACACCGGACGAAGGTTTGAAATATCATCCAACAGGTACACCACCACAGTATAGAAGTTCATATGATGAAAATATTGATGAATAGAAATGTTTAAAATTATAAATTTATTTTTGATTAAATGGATTTAAATTCATCCACCCCTTATGAAGAATTAGCGGGAGTATATAATACATACGTAGATGATATGATTAATGAAGCATTGAGTGATAATAGAAATGCTCTATCTAAGGAAAAATTAATGAAAATTCCATATTCTGAATGTTACTTAAATTCAATCACTGCAGCAATTGGTAAACAGAATAAAGGTAAAACATTAACGATATTAAAACAAATTATCATTATTGCTAACATTCCCCTATTCACATGTGTTAATTTATATCAACCGTTCAGGTTCACCATCAGATGATACATTTGAATCTTTAAAGCATTTAATCAAAATTCCAATTATTTATTTATCACAAGAAGAAGCAGAAGATTATTTAAAAAACTTTTTAATGTATAA